CTCTCTCTCTCTCTCTCTCTCTCTCTCTCTCTCTCTCTCTCTCTTCTTTAAGTAGGCTATTGTATTCTTTAGCGGATTGGTACCCTTATACTTTTAATACTTCACACATCACATACCTGTATTCTTGTTATGTCCACAAAGAGTCTCAGGAAATCGAAGTATTATCCTTGTCTTGTAGAAAATACCGTCAACACACAGAACTCACAAAATTCAGAGTGGGAAAAAATCCGAGAAAATTTTAATTAAGTCCAAGAGATACGATGCACATGTATATATTTTAACAGAGACAAAGAACCTATGAGTTCCCAAATCACTGAGACAGTTCACTGAATACTAAAAATATGTGATTCTTGACTAGTTGTATGAAAGGGTAGGTTATAAAAATCCTCTTTAGAATAATATAATGTCTTATATTCAGAAGAGAGTGGAGTTTTGGAAGCAAAAATACACTCCCTGCAAACAAAACACTGAAACAAAGAGCTCAGTAGACATCGATTTCAACTACAATGAGATAACATCAAGTAGTTGTACAATAACACACCTCATCTAAATCTTTATCTCGATATCAGTTCAATTAATTTTTTTCCGACTTCCAAAATCAAGACACCGTAATCTACCGAAGAATACGGAAATAAATGAAGGGGTTGAACAAGTAGTCATTCGGAGCACGACTTAAAAAACCCAAGCCAAAAGTGCTATTAATAATATGGCTTTAGGTTAGTGTCAACCGTCAGTCCTAGATTCCCACGATTTGCGATCACAATCAAGTCACTAATCCGAGAGAAAGCATAAAGTCATACGACTTCTTGGCGGGCACAGCAAGATCTAGATAGATCTAGATCCCCCGGTCCACTGTAGTTAGTGATCCGAACACCGTTTTGAAAGTTCTCACGTTGTGGCTGTCCACAGTCCACAGATCTTTCTTACCAAAGGGTTTCTCGACCTGTCCCAAAGGCCATACACGTACGGTGTTTCACGCTTGCCGAGCACACACATACACAAAACAACATTCATGTAGCTTGGTCTCGATCCAACATTGGAACGGTTTGATCTACGGCTACGGACGGAGAAGTCTCTCTCTCTCTCTCTCTCTCTCTCTCTCTCTTCTCTCTCTCTTCGTTCTCTCTCTTCGTTCTCTCTACTCTCTACCTCGGCCCCTTTGGTTGGGGAAAACCGTCACCGCCATGCCATAACGAACCGTCGTCGCGATACTTCTCCTCACATCGAGTTATATCTAGTTGAGCGATACGGTTATATACTGGATTTGTGAGATACGATACTTGAAGGCGGGTACTACAAATTAAAAAGACATGCTTTTTTTAAAAATCCAACAAATTAGAAATGAAATATAGGTACGCTCTCAGTAAAAAATATTTTGACAAAATAATTAACGTAATATTTCTTGTTCCTAAATCAGTCATTCGCCAGACTCTTCTT